GGGTGACGCGTTGGCTAACATTGCGTCTTGGTGTCGTGAAAATAACATGAATGATTGATGTTAGCAAAACTCAGTACATGCATATTACAACAAAAAGAACTATCTTAAACTTTAGCTATGAGGTTGCTGGCATAGGATTGACTAAAGTAGACAGTTATAAATATTTGGGAGTGATTTTGTCTCGTGACCTTGGGTGGAAAATCATGTGGAGTATGTTAAAAAGTGGGCAACTAACAAATTGTGGTACCTGAGGAGAACGCTGGGTAAATCTCCCCTTTCGTTAAACTTCTTGCGTATAAGACAATTATTAGACCTGTGTTAAAATACGCGTCCGCAGTGTGGAGCCTATGGCAGAGCTCTCTGGTCAGGGAACTCGAAGATATTGAGAATCGCTAGCAGCGCGTATAGTTTTTCAGATTTCAGACAAACTACGTCTGTGACCGAACTTAAAAGGAGAGCCAATATCGGCCCTCTGTCAAACAGAAGAAAGAGCCAACGGTTGAAGCTGCTCTTTCAGATTTTCAAAAACAGCATAAAAATTAATCGTTCGATTTACTTAAAACCAAAAAGTTTTTACTCGGAACGCTTGCATCACTCAAAGACCGTAGCCCCTATTAAAGCTCGAATAAAAAGCTATAAACAATCTTTTTTTGTGCATACAACTGATTTCTGGAACAGCCTTCCCGGTGATGTTGTCGATATTGATCCACTCTCTCCTTTTGAAAAAGCCGTATATAATATTTTTCAGCGCTAAGATCAGAGGTCGGCATTTTAGGTCGCCCTCACTCACCCTGACCCTCACAGCTACACTCACCTTCAGCCCTTCACTCACCCTCACTGAACCTCACGGCCCTCACCGCCCTCACGCCCCTCACGCACTCACCACCCTCACGGCCCTCACGCACTCATAGCCCTCACGCACTCACCGCCCTCACGGCCCTCACGCCTCATACCCCTCACGCACTCATGGCCCTCACGCCACTCAGGCCCGCTTCGGATGGGGCAATTTCGCCCAGAAACTTGACGTCGCAACACCAGCAACACGGGCATCATCATGAAATTCTATTTTTCTTGGACTTTTAAGGCACACAATTACGCGCTATAAACGTGTTTTTAGGCATTTAGATCTCGTTGAGAAGACTAATTATCTTTCTGTAACAGTTTATTTCCAAAAACGATCAATTTCAAACCAGAACCAAGTCTTTTGTTGTCATCATCACCGGCACGAGGTATCACGCGAAAATATCGCGTCCCTGATTGGATGCAGCCGCTTCAAACGTCTTCGAATTGCTCCGAGTTGCTCGCTTGTTTCGAGCCGGACCCGATCTCAGCAATTCGTGTCGGTCTAGGGAAAGCTAGGGAACAACCCGCCAGCAGCACCAAAATTGCTGAGAAAGTTTCTCCGTCTGAAGGGGTCCTCACGCACTCACCGCCCTCACGCCCCTCACGCACTCACCGCCCTCACGGCCCTCACACCTTTCACGCACTCACCGCCCTCACGGCCCTCATACCCCTCACGCACTCATAGCCCTCAGGCCACTCACCGCCCTCACGCCCCGCACGCACTCATGGCCCTCACACCCCTCACGCACTCACCGCCCTCACGGCCCTCATACCCCTCACGCACTCATGGTCCTCAGGCCACTCACCGCCCTCACGCCCCGCATGCACTCATGGCCCTCACACCCCTCACGCACTCACCGCCCTCACGGCCCTCATACCCCTTACGCACTCATGGCCCTCAGGCCACTCACCGCCCTCACGCCCCGCACGCACTCATGGCCCTCGCACGCACTCATGGCCCTCACACCCCTCACGCACTCACCACCCTCAAGGCCCTCACGCACTCATAGCCCTCACGCACTCACCGCCCTCACGGCCCTCACGCCTCATACCCCTCACGCACTCATGGCCCTCACGCCACTCAGGCCCGCTTCGGATGGGGCAATTTCGCCCAGAAACTTGACGTCGCAACACCAGCAGCACGGGCATCATCATGAGATTCTATTTTTCTTGGACTTTTAAGGCACACAATTACGCGCTATAAACGTGTTTTTAGGCATTTAAATCTCGTTGAGAAGACTAATGTATCTTTCTGTAACAGTTTATTTCCAAAAACGATCAATTTCAAACCAGAACCAAGTCTTTTGTTGTCATCATCACCGGCACGAGGTATCACGCGAAAATATCGCGTCCCTGATTGGATACAGCCGCTTCAAACGTCTTCGAATTGCTCCGAGTTGCTCGCTTGTTTTGAGCCGGACCCGATCTCAGCAATTCGTGTCGGTCTAGGGAAAGCTAGGGAACAACCCGCCAGCAGCACCAAAATTGCTGAGAAAGTTTCTCCGTCTGAAGGGGGCCTCACGCACTCACCGCCCTCACGGCCCTCATACCCCTCACGCACTCATGGCCCTCAGGCCACTCACCGCCCTCACGCCCCGCACGCACTCATGGCCCTCACACCCCTCACGCACTCACCGCCCTCACGGCCCTCACGCACTCACGGTCCTCACGGCTCTCACTCACCCTTACACTCGGGAATTTTCCTGGTACAGAAACTCACTCACCCTCACCTCACCCGTGAAGATGAGGGTGAGTGAGGGTGAGGGAGGGTGAGTGAGGGCCCTCATGAGTGAGGTTTGCCGACGTATGGCTAAGATTGCTTTTATTGCTGTTATGACATTGTTTTTACTGCCTTTATTTTTTATTACTGTTATTACTGCTGTTACAGTTACTGCTATACTGTTACTGTTATTACTAGTATTACATTTGGTTACTGTATTACTGTTGATATTGATTGATTCTCTCCTTTCGAATAAGTCGTAGATATTATTTTTCGGTGCGCTTTTTGTTTAGAACTGTTGTGTTAATAATTTGCAAGTATGACACTGTATCAGGCCCACTCCTGCCTTGGCCCTATATTGGGCTGGCAGTATGGATAAATAAATAAAAATGACGTCCGAACGCAGTCTTGATCTGTCATGGCGTTGTGACGACACATCAGGTCGCGGTGACGTTATAAGTTGACGTGACGCTTGACGTCTAAATTGGATGCAAATATAGGCCGGGGCTCTATTGTTTCTATGACCTTGACTTGTGTGCCGGGCAAGCGTGGCAGGCGCAACGTTTTTGTTGTTTTTTTTTTTCATAAAAAACGGCTGCTAAAATACATTTTGTGTTAAACATTATCCGCGCGTTTGGTCAAGAGCTTATATTGCAGCGCTCGTTTGCTCCTTGTTTATGCGAATCCAAGCCACTTCGCTCGTAGCGCCCTCTAACAATTTTTCCACATGCGGAGCTTCAGCAATAGCACTCCGGTGGCCCATCCTTTCTATGGTCCACTGGTCTGACAAGCTGCGCAAACGTCATCACCGACGCCGAGCTGCCTGGAGTCGTCGCCGGCGTTTCTTGGAGCGACTCACAACGAGCTCGCCACCAGGACGGACGTCGAGCTTCAGCGTGTTTGCCGGTTGGGCTGGCTCCGAGACCTACTAATGACTCCGCACGCCCTGTTAATGTGTGCGGAGCCCAAGTTGGTCCGCTTCTTGCGCTCCGCCGGCTATCACCATCCTTTCAATCGGACCAATCAAAGCTCGGCTTCGTTCTGACGTCACTGCGGAAGAAGCGGATCAATTTGCGCTCGGCACATCACCAGTTCGCCGCCTACGTCACCGACCAGCGCGGAAACATAAAATTCCAGTTTTCTTTTTTTTTTTCATTATTTCTTGTTTTTTTTTTTTTTTTTTTTTCATTATATTTCCAGACATTCGGTATACAGAAAAACTATGTATCTCGGATTGTCGCGAGTCCTCGAAGCTTATTCGTACCTCGTTTCCTCCCACCCGGGCAGCACAGAACCTCATCGCAGCACCGCGACAAGGTCGAAAACGTTGACGACAAATTCTGGTCGACATTTTAAGCATTTTATCGACGTCCTTACAACGCCAGAGTGTACAAGTATTGGCGCGATGCTACGTCCACGTGACTACCTCTAAAAACCTTCCGGAGGAAGGACTTCAGCATAATATTGGAGTAGCTCAGTTCCTGACCCATGCTTAATGAATGTCGGATGTTTTCCCTGGTCGATTACTTCCCTCTTAAGTGCATCTTCAATAGCATCGTAACTGTTCACTTTAAATTAATCAACTACCCGGGTGGGTATAGAAAAAGAAAGAAACACTCGGTGGCTTCGAGGCCAAGTGCCGACCTCTGGAGAAAGTTTGTGATGCAAAGGAACTTTAGGAAGATCTCAAGCAACCTGAAGTTCGGGAAACCTTTGACGGAATAGTACTTTGTTCCAACAATGCGCGTATTGCGCAGTCTTTCTCAAGAGCTGACGTAGGGTATCAGTTTATTTTTATGCGATCCGCCGAGAACTCTACCTAAATGCGTAAGGGGAAAAGTGCACCGCGCAAATATCAACCCTGAAGATGGATCTTCGCGCTTTTGCAAAGGAAGCCATTTTGGAACAAAAAGGCATTTCCAGAATCATGTGTCTACCATTGTTCTCAAATGCTTTGTTTCGTAAAGAAGCCTCCATCTTCGAGCAAACGAGCATTGTATGGTTTAAAGTGGCAGTGGAGCGACAGTCATCAGCGCAATCTCCTCGTTTGGAAAGTGTGAAATCTGAGAACGGTGCATGCCAGGTATTCTCGTCCATGCGCAGCTGCTCGGAGATGGACATTTCGCTCTGGTCTGCACCTTCCTTCTCTTAGGAGGCTCCTCCTCCCTTTTCTCGCCCGTATCCTTCGTTCCACTACTAGTGTTTACGCGGTGTCGAAAGTCCTTGGAATCGTTGAACGATTCCCGAACACAGAAAAAAAAAACGGTGCCGGTTTATGCAGACCGCGAAGCTATACGGCGTGCAAGTTCATCTGCTCCCACCTCGTGCGTTTGTTTACCCGCCAAAGACGGCCAGAAAAACGCGCGTTCCCTGCGCGTTTCTTATATTGCCCTTGGTTGGGGCGTCCTCCTAACGTTCCAATGTGACACAGGCGCATTTAAGAACATCGTATAACCCCGCGGTTAAGCATCGGACTATCGAACGACAGATTGCCGTCCTTCCGAACGGCCGGCCCCGAGGACGTCCTCACCTTCTTCTTGTTCCTGACCACGATGGCGTCGCGCACGGTCTCCGGGTTGCCCGGAATGGTGGAGTCCTTGAGAAGCCTGCGGATCTTCTCGTAGACGTAGCAGATGACGAGGAGCGGCACGAAGTACTGGAGGCACACGAGTGCGTTGTTGTACAGCCGCCAGGCGGCGGGCGGCACGACCACATTGTGGCAGAAGGGCCTCGTCCGCTGGCCCGTCGCGGCGTCCTGCACCAGGGTGACGCGGAGCGCGAGCGCGTACGGCACCGCAGCCAGCATGGACACGGCCCAGATGACGCTGATGAGGGCGCGGGCCGTGAGGCGCGAGTTGAGCCTCGCCTTGAGCGGGATGGTGATGGCGCGGTAGCGGTCCACCGCGATCGCCGTCAGCGTGAAGATGGACACGTTCACGGACACCACCTGCACGAACGGGCAGAAGGCGCACATGAAGCGCGGCAGGAGCCAGCGCTGCAGCAGGGCCGCCTGGAAGTGGAACGGGATCGAGAAGAGCCCGATGATGATGTCGCTGATGGCCAGGTTGGCGATCAGGTAGTTGGTCTCTGTGCGCATCCGCCGCGACGTGGCCACGATCCAGAGCACGAACGCGTTGCCCAACACGGCCACCAGGGAGATGGTGCCGTAGCAGAAGGACAGCAGCGCGATCACCTCCAGGGGCACCTCGTACAGCCGGCCCGAGGTCGCCACCGGGGCTCGGGCCCAGCTGCCGTTGGGCTCGTCCGCTTCGTCGCTCGCCACCAGCTCCATGGCGGACACCTCCACTAGCGGGGGGATCGCCCGCGTGACTGGGCGAGCGGTCGCATGCCGGCGCGCTACGCGGTTGGAGACGATCGGGAGGTCCGCGCGGAAACGCGATCGCGCTGCGTGTGCCGGGCTCGAACAGCGAGCCTCGGAGCCCGAGCCCTGGTCGGGGCCACGTGACGACGCGCGGTGTCGGCGCTGCGGCGGCCCACGTGCGCTTCTTTTTCCGATGTCGACGGGGAGTTTTGGAGGACGCTCCTGATGGCGATTGTGAGCGCGGTCCGCCCGGGCCGTCCGAGGAGCGCGACGGTGCGCCGCGCGGGCACCTGTTGCCGCTACGCAGTTTCTCGCTGCTTACGAAAAGCCCTTCGTGCTTCTCGTTACGCGGCATTGCTCTACAATGAGGACATGCGTCGCGGTGCACGTTTGAAAAAGAAATTGGGGCTCTTGACGCAGAATGCGCTTCTTGGTGCATTTGACGCCATGTCGAGAAACTTTGGTTTGCTCTTTAGTTTCAGGACAGGCTTTTGTAAGACGAGAATAAATAAAAGGCAAAAAAGCGCTACGTGTGTGTGTGGGTATCTACTTGTCCCTTTTTGTTCTCTTTATTTTCACGATGCACCGACTCGCTCAACTACACACCTTGCTGCAGGTTTGCGTAGGTATGGTTCTGCACATTTGCGGAAATTAGAATGCATTCAATCATCACTCGCCGATATATGCGCTTACAATGCCAGATTACCCAAAAAGTTTTTTTTTTTTTTTTGTTTTTTTTTAATTTGGCGCTTGACTTTGGCCAATCCTCACGTGATCTTGAAAACTAATGCATGCACTACAAAAGCATTTCCTGCACTCCCTTTATTCGTGGATGCAAGCCAATATGCAGAAAGAAAGATTAAAAAAAATGGTTACGATTACTTCTAAGAGACAGAAGCGTGTTCGACATTTCGATTAGCTCTGTAATTTTGAAAAGAATCAAAACAAAGCCATACGCGACCAGTCGCTGGGATCCGATTAGTGAAATGTAAATTCTGTCACATTTCCACGAATTTTAGCGATTATGACGCCTAAAGTCGCAACACTCGCAGGCAGAGCGCCCGAAAGCAATCGCCTCCAGTCTTCACTTTGATCTTAGCCACAACTTCGATCAGGGCGTCATCGACAGAAATAAGAGTATTTGGTTGTATGTATACATTCCGGCGGTGTCGCGTTGAGTGGGCGATGAGAACAGGGCGTGCTACAGACGCATCATCGAACCCGCATTAGCAACTCAAAATTACCTTTGTGACGTCACGAATAGTAACCACAGAAGTGCTTGGAGAGCATTTCGGCAAATTATATGCTAAAGGCTGTATTATGCATGGAGCTCGCGCAAGATACAAAATGCACGGCGATTCTCTGAATGTGAATTCCAAACTTGCTTGTGCCATTACATTGATTTTTGAATGATCGTATGTGGCCATGAAGCACCACAACCACAGTGTATCGAAGGGAAAAAAAGGCACCTTCGGTTTACTACGCGCGCAAGCAGGCATGTCATGCTTGGGAAGGTAATCCTGGCTCTGTATGAACAGCGACGTGGCAGTGGCCAGAATCTTAGTGCATGTTCACAAAGCGAGCGCAACGGTAGCCCAGTGCTGCTGCGACCGCGAGCGCCACATCCGTGTCTCGGCGGCGAGATGTTTTGGTGGCGCCCTCCTATGGTTCCCTTTTGTGACGTCATTACCTTGCGAACTACGAGTTCGATGGTGTTTGTAATTAGCGGGTACACGACATAACAGCACGCGACAAAACAGCACGCGACCAAACAGTACGGTCAAAACAGCACGTTGACAAAACAGCATGCGTCAAAAGAGCACGCGACAAAAGAGCATAGCGTCAAAACGGCAGAGCGACAGAAGAGCACGTGCCAAAACAGCACGGCGTCAAAACGGCACAGTGACGAAACAGCACGCATGTTGCAGCTTCGAGCGCGCTCTTCACCTCTCTCAGCGCGAATAATTTCGAACCTCCTTGAACCTTTCATTTATTAAACCTTTCAAATATTAATTGGGGTGCCGCCGAGTGATTATAAATACCTATCTGTTGATTTTCTCCGGGTAAATGAAACTACTTTACACTTGTCCAGGTTCAGAGGCATAAGCCATTGTTCACACCAGGTATTAATTTGTGTTAGGTCGTCCTGCAATATAAGATGATCTGAATCATTTGTGAGTGGGCGATATATCACGCAATCATCGGCGAATAGCCTAATTTTCGAAAGGATGTCACGAGGAAGGTCGTTTATGTATATTAAGAATAGTAGTGGGGAGAGTCCTGCACCCTGGGGAACTCCTGATGCCACTTTACCAAGGGGTGATTTGTGATTATTAGCCAATGTGAACTGAACTCTTGAGGTGAGAAAATCCTGAATCCAAGCGATGATAGTCGAATCAATACCAAGAATTGAAAGCTTGTTGAGTAGATGACGATGCGGAACACGGTCGAAGGCCTTCGCGAAGTCGAGAAATATTACATCTGTTTGGTAATTATTATACATGTTAACAAGTAGGTCATGAGTAAACTCTGCAAGTTGGGTCTCACACGAGAGACCTTTACGGAAACCGTGCTGGAGTGGGTAGAAAAAATTAATCGAGTTAAGGTGACTTATTATGTTCGAGCTGATTATATGCTCTAATAGTTTAGAAGGAACGCTTGTTAAAGAAATGGGGCGATAATTAGATACAAGTGATCGATCACCACTTTTATGGACGGGGATGATTTTTCCAATTTTCCAGTCTTTTGGGCTTTGGCGATCTGAGAGTGATTGGGAGAAAATTAGTGATAGATACTCACTTGAAACAATATTGGTGCTTTTAAGGATTTTGGTGCTGATGTTATCCATGCCAGCAGATGACGATAGTTTTAGTTTGTCAATTAAGGCACTTATTCCAGCAGATGAAATGACAATAGGTGGCATGATGGCACTAGACAATGAGCGGGGAGATGCTGCTTCGCCAAGGCCTCCGTCCGTGAAGACAGAAATGAAAAAGTCGTTTAAGGCTGTCGCGCTTTCGTTCTCAACGGTGGGATCTTTATTGCTGTCTGTCAGCGACAGAGATTGGGAGTGATATTTAGGTGACAGGAGTTGCCAGAATCGGGTTGGGTTAGAACGAAGAATGGAAGGCATGTCGGAAGATAAAAACTTTTCCTTAGCCCGTTTAATATGTTTTGCATATTCCTTTGAATGTTGATTGTGTGTGTCCCAGTCTTGAACGTGACCAGTGCGCTTAGCTTTGCGATACATACGTTTCTTATTGTTTCGTATTATTTTTAGTGTCTTATCAAACCAGGGGTGGTTCCCGTCGGATTTAATAAGGACTGTTGGTATAAAAATGTTGATGAGACTGTTTATTTTATTTCGAAAAAGGTTCCAGTTTTCTTCAACAGATCTCGAATAAAAGTTTCTGCTGAAGTTTGTGTAAAAAGTTTGTAGGTCATTATTGATGGATTCAAAATCTCCTTTATTGTAATCTTTAATGAATTTTTGAGTGGACATTTTCCGAATAATAGGTAATGACATAGTCATGCTTAAGAGTTGATGGTCGCTTAATCCTGGTGAATGAATAATGTTTTGAATATACTCGGGAGTAGTGGAAAAGACGAGATCAAGCGTATTTTCGAGTCTTGTTGAACGACTAACTACTTGAGCGAGGGTGAAGTCGAGCGTGAGATCAAGAAATTTTTTTGATTCATTTATGGCACTTTTGTTCGTCCCCGTGAGTGAGGACCAGTTGATGCTTGGAAAGTTAAAATCACCAAAGAGAAAAAAAAAAACTCCTCTGGGGTGACTGGTTTGAAGCTCGTGAAGAGCATCCCGCATCTTATCAACAAAAGTATTATCGCTCTCGCGCGCCCTGTAACATACTCCGATTATGTTTGAGTGAGGGGAGCTAATGCGAACCCAGATTAGTTCCAGATTGTTGTTCCGACTGATACAAAGCGATGAGATGTTATTATTTTTTTTTTATGGCAATGAGGACGCCGCCTCCCCTTCTTGAGCAACGATCATGACGATATACATTATAGTTCATGTGAGGAGTGAATATTTCAGTATCATGCACGTCATTCGTTAACCAAGTTTCTGTTAGAATGATAATGTCGGCTGTGCTATCATCAATAATACTATGTAGGTCATCTCGTTTGGACATGACACTGCGTATGTTAGTAAAGATTACAGAAAGTTGTAGAGACTTTTCAGGTTTATTTACAGGAACTATGGTGCCTGTGACAGTCAAGCAATGGCCTAGTTAGCTGCGAGTTTCAATTACTTTTCCTGATTTAGCATCGTACACATAGCAGAGATTACCTACAAAAAGTGTATCGAGCCGTAGTTTAAGCGTACATTTCTGAGGTTTGATAAATTCGAGCAGTTTGTTGCGGGCTATTCGCGTCGCTGCTGCAAAGTCTTCGCGGATTGCAAAGTCTGTTCCTTTCAGTTTTCGTCCGCATGCTAACATGGATTCCTTGTCCTTGAATTGATTTAGTTTAATTATGATTGGGCGATTTTTATTTGCAGTGAACTTCACTATGCAGTGTGCTCGTTCGATGTTGTTTGAGTCAAGATTGAAATCTAAATATTGCGCACAAAAAGCAATCAGTGTTTCTTCCGATTGCTGCTAAGATTCAGACTGCGAGTCAGCAATTCCTAGGAACAGAAGATTATTCCTACGCAGTCTGTTATTTAAGTCCTCGTTAGCCGCTTGGAGGACGGCAATATCCTCCGAGATTGCGTGAGTGTTAACTATTGGTTCTGTGCCCCCTGAATCTGCTGAGGTGTTTTCCAGCACCGTAAGTCTTTGCTTAAGTTCCTCCGTAGTTTTATCTGCAGAGTTGTTTTCCAGCACCGCAACTCTTTGCTTAAGTTCCTGTACGGTTTTATCTGTAGTCTCTTGTCGCTCTTTCACTGTCTTAATTTCTGCAAGTAGGACTACTTGTCCCTGCTCGATCCTTTGTACAATGGCTAG